ACCCCCCCGGGCCCCCCGTGAAACCGGGGACCCCGGGCTGCCGAGCCTCAGCGCCTCAAGGCAGCGTCTCCGCGTGGACCCAGCTTTGCTCAAGAAGCCCTGAGGCTTCCAGAGAACGCGCCAGGTCGCCTATGGCCAAAGCAAAGATCCCGCTGGTCAGACCTGGGAAGAGGTCTTAGTGGGCATGGTGTTGTTGGGTTGATGGTTGGACTCGATGATCTTGGAGGTCTCTTCCAACCTTAATGATTCTATGATTCTATGAGGTCTCTTCCCAACTCCAGCCACAGCGTTTGGTCCCATCCTTGGCACGGCCGGCAGCCCAGGCTCCGAGCCCGAGGAGCTGCTTGGCAGCTTGCACCAAGTGCCTTCACGAGTCTGGATCGGGCTCACGGTGGCGCTGGACAAGGTCACCTGCATGTGGCTGGATGGCTCCATGCTGGACACCAAGCACTGAGCTCCTGCCCCGGGGGGACCTCCAGGACCTTCCCCCCCCCCCGAGGGACAGGGACCTTCTCTCCCCTCTGGCAGGTTCCCCAGCTTGGACTTTGCCACCAAGGGCAGCCGCGCCCTGGTGAAAGGCTCCCAGGTCCGCTCCGAGGGCTGCGATGCCGCGGCCAGATGGGGCTGCGAGAAAGACGCTGTCACCCTGTAGCTGCTCCCGCCCTGCCTGCAGCCCTACGGCTCCCCACGGCTGGGGGCCAAATACCTGCACCCCTCTTCTTGCTCCGCGCCCTGGCTTGCTCTAAGGAAGGGGAGGGTGGTGGGGCAGGCACAACTCCCTGCATTTCCACCCCAGGTCCCTTTGCCCCTTTGCTCTCTTGCAGGGGCCGCAGAACATCCTCGCCAGGAAGGATGGAGCAGGGAGAAGTCCCGCTTTTCCCTGGGGAAAAGAGGGGGAAACGATCCCGCTCCCTGCCTGGAGCCGTCCCAGAGCTGCATCCCAGGGCTTGGCCCTTCCCCCAGCCCCAGGAGCTGCCGGACAACATTAAACAAAGAAAGAAAATAAAAAAAAAATATTATTTTTTTTGAGCAGATTCTGCTAGAAGAGATTCTCTTGCAACATCATTAAAAAAAAAAAAAAGGGGAAAAAGAAAACACAGCCCGAAGCTGGACTGGGTGAGGGCAGGGAAAGCTCATGGGCAGAGGCGGAGGTGGGAGCCTCTCCCCACCCAGAAGAAAGGGAAGATGCTCTCCCCTCCAAACGCAGCTTTTTGGAACGTAAAGATGGGGGGCTCACGCTTGGCGAGGTAAAATGCCACTTGCCCCCCTCCGTAGTCCAGAGCCACCCGCACCCTCCCAGTTTCCCCGGTGGCGGGGAAGGTGGTGATGGGGGAAGTGAAGGCACGGTACCGATTCCCGCACCGCCCCATCGCCCAGATCCCCTTCTCCGGCCGAAACTCAAGCCAGCCCTTCCTCGGAACGGAGCATCGGGCCACCCCCAGCGCCCAGCTCCTGCCTCTGGCCACCTCCACCTCCCAGCAGTGTCTCCCCGCGGCGAAGCCCCGGCAGCCCAGCACGCAGCAGGAGGCATCGAATCGCTGGGGGGTGGTGGGCAGATCCTGCCCCGCATCCGTCCATCTCACCCCCCGACGGTCCCGGGACAGGACGAGCTGGGCGTTGGCGGTGTCCGGGTCCAGAGTCATGAATG